TGAACATAGCCAAGTAAAATAAAAAAAAGAAGATAATCAAATAACACAGTAAAAAGAAAAATTAAAATAACAGATTAATTAAAAGGCAATTACAAGCTAGTACAGAATCAGGTGTTTTACTATTATTTGCTATGTTCACACGGCAGCATTCTATCGGAGCCGAACTACTGCTCCTCCCACTGATTAACAGGAGATTATCTCCAATGCGTTCATACGGTCGGGAGCCGAACGAGAGCCGAGATCTGCCAGAGTTCCATGAAGGCGCGACAATGTCATATAAATCATTATCGGATAATTATCGTCTAATAAAATCTAATGAAATTCTGGCAGAGATGTCTAACTTAGACATTTTTAGACGATATTATCGATAATATCGGAGAAAACGAACTGTCGCAATAGATGCCCAGACAAACCTGTCTAACTTAGACATTTTTAGACTTCTTTAGACATTGTTAGACGATATTATCGATAATATCGGAGAAAAACGAACTGTCCCAATAGTTGCCCAGACAGACCTGTCTAACTTAGACATTTTTAGACTTTTTTTAGACATTGTTAGACGATATTATCGATAATATCGGAGAAAAACGAACTGTCCCAATAGTTGCTCAGACAGACCTGTCTAACTTAGACATTTTTAGACTTTTTTAGACATTGTTAGACGATATTATCGATAATATCGGAGAAAAACGAACAGTTGCAATAGTTGCCTAGACAGACCTGTCTACTTAGACATTTTTAGACGATAATATCGGATAACGTTAAAAAGTGCAATGTTGCGCCTTCGATTCAGTTCGACCAGAGCCGAACGGAACAGTGCCCTTGAATAATTAGTGACAGAAAACGATTTTAGTGTCGTCCTTGTGTTTGTTATTTACATGGCATGATGCTGTTGAGCTAGAAGAAAAAAGAGCCTGAGCATGGAGGTAGAAAACACAATGACTGGTATCACGATTTAGGTACTAGTATCTCGAATAAACAGGAAACACGGCAGCTAAAATGCGTTTAATACAGCCTATTCGCTCAAGTTATTGTCATGCAAAATTACCATTTTGTAACTATTCAACTCTAGTGATATCTAAACTACTAGGAAGAATCACAGATTCTCTCTATCTATCATAGAGGGACTATGGAAGAATCTAAACTTACCAGGAACACGTCACCGTACCTCGATCGGTTCTACGTTTTTTATCTTTAGTGTCTTAAAAAGTTTCCGTTCAGTCGTTCTTTCAAGTTTTTGTCGCATAATTTCGCACGCCATTTTTTTGTTTTCCGTTGAGCTATTAATCTATCGCAATAATTCGTTACTATATATTAGGACGCGTAGCTCTTATTCAAGCCGGACATTGCGTGAAATTATGAAAGATGTTGTCTTGAAATGAAGAGGTTACTCGAAGAAGACGATTGAGGGCGTGATTTCGGCTCCGATAGTTGGGCCGTGATGCGTTTACACGATCGGAGCCATGTCGGGACTCAACCCTATCGGAGTTCAACCCCGATGGTTTAGTGGAGCCGAACGCGTTTACACGGTCATTTTTGCTGGCTCGAGCCGTTGGGCTCCGATAAAATGCTGTCGTGTGAACGTAGCAAATAATACACACCTGTTTTCATTATAAACACACCAAGCTTAATGTGGCAGTTTGTCATAATGTAAATAAATTTATCGGGATAATCCATTGAAGTAAAATTAGGATTATGCTTATGTAAGTCTGTAAAAAGTATCTGCCTCATTTTATTGTGCTGTGGGCAGTCCATAATGTAATGGTACTCATCCTCAACTGAGTTATTGTCACATCTTGTGCAGATTCTGTGTTCCAGTTTTGTTTTCGGTCAAGTATACCTCCTTTCTCAATCATAAGCTGATGGTCACTAATTTTTAATTTACAAATATATTTTCTATATTTTGAATTATTTACATCCATCAAATACTTTTCCATTTTGAAGTTTGTTTTAAACTTCCTGTAGGTGTTAGTTTTATCGAGCTCCCCTGAATCAAATTTTTCTAAATTAATGTCACTCTTCCATTTTTGTGAGTAATCATTTCCTATTTTTTCCCATACTCCCTTCACACTTTCACTGATGTAATATTGATACCGTTAGTAGAACCATTGCCCCAGTGGCGGATCCAGCAAAATGTATTGGGGGGGGGGTGTCCAAGCTACGCTTAATATATACGGGCCGTAAATCGCAGAGAAGCTATGCGTAATCCAGATGATACGAATCGTCATGCGTTTGGGGGGCATGGCCCCCTGCCCCCCTCTGGATCCGCCACTGCATTGCCCGCAGTGATAACCAGAAGTTTTGGCCATGAAAGTAGCAAATGGTATTTAATAGCTCGCACGGATTGAATCCGTGGTAAATGACGGCAAACAAGTTCCTAAACAATGTGTTGTCAACTTTCTTATGAACAGGGGCTTCCTGGTCGGGGATACGGGAACTTCTTCAACCAGATTCGGTCCAAGTGAATACACATTAATTCATTACAGCTTTAATCACACAAACAGTCAGCTGATGCACGGTTTTAGTAACCGTGGCTGAGGTAACCCCTCGCTGTACAGTTCTCCTCGCTTCTCTTCTTACGAAAGGTTACAAACTCCCTATAATAAAAGTCAAGTCTCTAAGGTTGGGCAGAGTAAACATGCGGTTAGCCAATCGCTACAGTCGTTGACATGATCTCGTGATTACCAGGGAAGTGCCTTGCAAAGTTGCCACTACTAAATACATAAGTAAACAATCTATTTATCAAATTCCTGAAATATGTGTTTATAATCTCTACCCTAAATATGCCAGTTGTTGATTCTAAACAATGGTCTAACGGCGTGTGATTAGAATCTGCGTACGTGAAGTCACTATCATAAAACATTCCTCCTCTGACAAAAGTGAAAAAGCTAAAATTGCAAACAATGATCTAAACTACAAAGAATACAAATGATTACATATACAATGTTTTATATAATGAGAGTAACGATAATACAGTGTTCACATAAATGTTTTATAACTCACTTATCTACTACGTCACGCTTATGAATATAAGTAAAAGCAAAATTACAAAGTGATCACATGACAGTAAGCGTATACTAAGCGTAATTTACATAGCACGACTTCGCTTGTTGACGGTGGAAGTCAGAGGTTGTTACACAGTCCCTCCAGTTGAGGGGCTGTGGTTGCTAGTACTAGCTAGGCCTCCCCGCATGTCTTCACGACACTGCGATATAGCTGTGTAGAACTGAACTTGTCCCACCAACAAGCGGTACTCCGCCTCATTATTCTCTCTGAAATCAGATATTAATTCGGCACGTAGTCTCTAGGCATAAATTTCCATTGTAGAAACTTTCGAACTTTATTTGGGCCGTCTCCTTCGTACACGACTTCAGGTCAAGCAAATTTTATTTCGTGTCCGAATCTTGTTTTTCGTATTTCGCAATTCGAAATGCCAGGAAAATTCCCTGTGCAATATCGTGTGGTAATTCAGTTGTTTTAATAATTCTATCGACCATGAACAAATGTTTGCGATTATATCAAGTACACGTAATAGAAATACTGTATTTCTAAAGATGCAATAAATAAATATTATTATTATATATAATACGTACGTGGGCGCGCCACTTCTATTTCAAAATGATTTTAAAACGTCACAAAAGTGCCTCTCAGATCAATATATTCAAATTTATATTGTTTACATTTTTGAATAGGTGAGGTAATGCGGACAAAAGTATGTATGCTTAAAATATTGCAAACCGTTGACTATCATACGGAACTCGTCTATACACTCTTAATAACGTTGTTCCTGACCAGTGTCCCAATTTACTAATCGTGAGTTTATAATTTTACTCAAAAGTGGCAAAATCGATATACCTCTAAAGTTATTGACGTCATGTGACCCTTGTTATCCTTACACCATTTACTGCTCAGTATATATTGTGATATTCATGATAGAAAAGTTGGCACAAATAATGAGATATAATATCAATTAACCTCTTAGTGTGGTCATAGACCCTCTTTTAGAGGGTCTTGGTGTGGTCGAAAACACAACGCAACCAGCAGTATTTCAATATAACTCACTGTTTTGCAAACAAAATAGCAATATTGATAGTTGAAATGTTTGTAATTGTAATACCCATATTGCTGCTTTGTTGGCTGAACAGTGAGTAATATCGCAATACTGTTTATTAGGTTTCTTTTTTTGTGCACAGTAAAAAAAAACTGCGGATCAAGACTATCAGGTGCGTATAACTGATTAGTCTGGAAATTTAGGGAGAGTAATTTGTATATTTTATTAGTAATGGGGGTAGCTAAAAACTGATTTTTCTAGAAAACACCGGTCGGATTGTAGTTAACATGTGGATATTTTAAGAACTAATTTTAGGAATGTATTCGGGACCTATAATTTTCTGGATCAAAATTGTGATATCACATTTCAATAATATAATATCCAAAATGAATCAATTCCACATGTTTTCACACAATCTAATTTATACTGTCCACCCTTCTCCTTCATATTTGTTACTCAACAAATTGAATACTATTTCTAGCCAAAGATTTATCAGGGATTTTCGAATTGGGCATGAACAAACATTTTACATTAATAGTTCATACATTCCATTATTGCAAAAATATGTTTCCCTTTCATCCAGAACGTAAACTGTACTACTGAGATTCCCACTTCGCTTGAAATGAAATTTAGGGAAAAGAAAAAAAAACTAGTGCGCCCAACGTGGGGCTCGAACCCACGACCCTGGGATTAAGAGTCCCATGCTCTACCGACTGAGCTAGCCGGGCAGTTGATAAAGCCGTTCCACCTATTAATCAAGGACTGAACCAAGCATCTTACGAACAAAGATTTTATTATTTATTTTTTTAAACAACATTTTTTATCGTCAATTTAAGGTTATATATATTGATTTATCGTAGACTTGCCAAATCATTTGATGTTGTCAAGGCACGATATATTGCCGCGTTATTTCATAACACGGTTAAGGGTCAGCACGCATGCTCGGTCGTGTCAACAAAGATGGCTGAGTAGACTTCGTCTGGCATGTTCCTACAATGGATATTCTGGACGTCTGAGTGCTTATGAACGAATAAAAGCTGAACCAACAGAATGGCTTCAACATCTTCTGGTCAAGATTCGGTTGTAGTCGACGGACTCGTGAACTACATCAAATCGGCTGGACTATTTGATCAGTTTCGACGAGACTGTCTTGCCGATGTTGACACAAAGGTAAATAAAGGAATATTCAACATAGATGTTTTGATGTATTCAAAATCGGTACATTTGTCTAAGGGTTCAAACATTTGATATCAATTGGAGTGGGGTGGATGGAAGGATGTCATCGGTGCATTTTTGCGCTGCCTTATCTGCACATTTATATGTTTTTGAATGTGCAAATACCGTTTCCCTGCAACACCTTGCAACAATTTTTTTCATTCAGTTTCTAGCTTGTGTTTTTTTTTCAACCAAATCTTCCAGACACCCCTCACGGTTTCAAATGGTAGACCTTAATACGTTGTTAGAAGCAACTATCACCTTTCTACAGGGGGTAACGTTATTACTATTTAATGAGTAATTGCACTTATATAATAATAATTTATTAGCCTTTGAAACGGCGTAAAAAGTAACATACAAGTCAACAACAAGAAAATGAAATAAAAACTATAAAAGCATTCAAACATGTCAATCATTCAGTTTCTTGTTTCTGAATTTCCATAGACGAATGAGAAAGATTTCTTTTGATGTATTATTTCCCAAATCCCTATTGATTGCCCATAAAGCATCACTGAAGAGAAAATTAAATTTCAAAATTAAATTTGAAATTAATTCCACCTGAAAAAAATATATCCACTATTGTATTGGTTAGTGATGAAAGATAGAACCAACTAAACCGTGACACTGCTAGGATTAAATTTAAGGATTAAAATTAATAAAACTAAATCTTAAAACTGCTAGGATTAACTTTGAGGATTAAAGCTGATGCAAAAATCTATATAACAAGAATTCAATGAAAAACTGCATGAGAAGGTTTTTAATTACATTGTATAGTCTATTCCTGAAGGTACTGTAAAACATTTGAATAGCTACATTCAATTTTAGCGAATTTGACTCCATGATTGAATTAACTGAATCTTATTTTAGCTAAAGTGCCAAATCTCATTGTGAGAATATACTTTATTTTAAATTAGTGACATCTTGAATTAGAGAAATTACAGATTAGCTAAATTAGCTAAAATAACATGCTAGCTAAAAAGACATGTTTTACAGTAATTATTTTCATTGAGAGTAAACATAGATGGATTTTGAAGTTTGATATCAATATGTTGCTATATGGATTTTAAGAGAATTAATGTAACCATTATACTTCATTATACTAATATTCATTCAAAATGTATAAATTATTCATTTTTACAGCCCGCATACCAGAATTTGCGACAAAGAGTTGAAGGATATGTTTCTAATTTTCTGTCTCAACATACATGGTCTCCAAATCTCAACAAAAATCAACTTCGAGATAGTCTCAGAAGACAAATCAACCAGTAAGTATTGGTACTATTAATCAGGACTACGTACATTAATTGATTAGAAAGTGCTACCTATAGTTTTATGACTGCAATTCTGTGATATGTATTACAGATCAGAAATGCTATCAACGGGAGTCGAAAGAATTGTAGAGCAGGTTGTTGAGCCGCAGATACAGCACGTCTTTAGACCACAAATTGAGAAGGCTTTCAATGAATATGTTGAAAAGAAGAAAGGAGATGCTGAGAGTCGCAAAGATGAGGAACTTCCAAACAAAACTGAGGAGATTAGTGTACCCATGGTAACCAGTGAGAAAGTTGAAAGTACATGCAAATCAGAGTTATCAGCATTACCAACATCAACAGGTAGCTGTTTACTAGTCATGTTTTGTTAATAACAAATATCATGCTTTGTAAAATACCTTATGACACTGTCACTTTATGTGTGTAATAGTTTTCATTGTTAAGGCCAAGAAAAAAAATTCTGTTTCTCATTTTCACAGCCCAGCCAAAAAAATGTGCGTCTTGAACACTTTTGTTAGGTAAATTACAAAATTACAAGTGTCAATTTCTGACCAGTGGCAACTAGCCTGACATGTAGGCATGAGGGGCACCCTCGCCGGCCGAATAGTGTATGTCTCGTTGGCAAGTTCAATACTGCAAATTCGCAAAGTTAATGCCTTCATGCAATGAGTTTCAATGGATATTCATTTTAGTGGTCATGGAGGGTGCAACTCACGCGACCTTGTCAGGCTACAAAAGACTGTGTCTTTCCTGTGCAGACACTCACTTGTAACCAGGGAGATAAAGCCGTGTTTGCATTGTCGGCAAAAATCACAGACTGTTTTCAACAAGATGATAAACATTGGGCCAGAAACTTAACACACATTATGTCAACACTGTTGTGAATGGTTACTCTTTGATGACTGTCACTTTCTGACGTTTGGTACCGACGGAAGTGAAAAACTACATCATTCTGTCAGGCGTGTCTTGGGTTTGGAGCACTGCAGATGGTACAACTCATGCGACTTGTCAGGCTGAAACGGCAACAAGTTGAGGGTAAATCCACATTGAAAATGCATACAGGAAACAGATTTTTTTTTTTCGGCCTAAATCCCATGTTAAACTGCTTTTTTTTATTTTCAAACTTCTTGCATGATTTTTATTAGTGAGTGAATGTTTTATTATGTTATGTAATCATTTTAATTTCTTCTGAGGAGTTTTAACATTTTTAATAAATTGAAATTGATCTAGAAAAAAACAGACCTGTCAACATGAAACCAATCTTGCGAATGATTTAAAACTTGGATTCATTGTTGTGTTGTGATTAAAAACTAATTATTAAAATGAAATTTGCTGTGTCGTTC